CATAGTATTGTGTTCTTTTAGGGGGGACAGAGATGTAGAATATGCACAGACATATACACATACACACAATTTTTGCACACTTTCTATGTGGTACCTTTTCTCTAATTTGTTGTGTTTATATTATTTTTTTCCATTTGTTTACATTTGAAATGCATGTCTTTGCCTTCACAAGCATACTCCCCCCCCCCTTTTCATTAAAGAAGTGGGAAAGGCTGATCCTTTCTAAATGGGAAGATGACTTTGAGACAGTCTCACCCCCAACTCTGTTCCTCGTCTGCAAAATAGAATATGTTTATTAATGGCCTACCTTACAACATTGCTGTGAAGACTGAGTGGGATGAGCATCCTACGCAGACTAGAACTGTTATATTTACAGAACAAAGAAGAGAAAACCTCTGTCTGAACCAGGCATGGGCAAACTTTGGCCCTCCAGGTGTTTTGAACTTCAACTCCCACAATTCCTAATAACTGGTAGGCTGTTAGGAATTGTGGGAGTTGAAGTCCAAAACACCTGGAAGATCAAAGTTTGCCCATGCCTGGTCTAAATTATGATGGCAACAGAGACAAGTCCAGGCACAGCTTTTTCCAAGGTCACAGAGATGACCACAAAAACAAAAAATTGGAAGTGGTGGACATCTACTTGTAATATGGAACAACGGGGTTTTAAAATACAATAAATAGTTCAGGGACAGCCCTACAACTATTTAAAAGATGACTTGCTACTGCTGAAGTCTTCCAGAAAGAACATTTCACCTTTTGGGTAGGACAGGGAAAGAAGGATTGTGGGGTCCCGGGGACACACTTGCATACATCCGTTGTGAACCATTTTTTGCTGTTGTTTAATCCCTGTGGAGAATAAACCTCGTGGGCTGGGAAACAGAATGTAGTCAGATCCTCTTGCACTCAATCTCCCTGTTCCTATTTCATTTGTATGGTGCTTGTCAGGAGCTAAATTCCAAAACCAACTTCCCTTTCATAAAGAGAGTCTTGTTTTTCCCCAAAGCAGTTTTGAAAGGGGAGCAAGGGACTAGCTGTTTCAATGAACCCAAGGCGTAAACTAGCCCCAGGATGCATAAGGACAGGATGTCTGCTACTGATGCCCTTTCAAGAGCTATATGTGCTATGGGAGAACAAAAGGCACAGAGGTTGCCTGCAGCTTGTTACCAATGAGTGCAGCATGTCTCATGGTACACAGACGGAAATTCCACAATTTCTCCTCCTTTCATTTCTATATTGTGTTGCATTTGTGCCAAACACTAGCCTATATGCTCTTAGATATGAGTGAAATAAATGTCCAGGTGCAAGAGAATCCAAAAAGATTGCCAAGGGCAAGATAAAAGCATGGGAAAGTTGCTTCTTTGTATGGCTATGTTAACTGGGTTTCTAAGAGTTTTAATAGAACTGAATACTTACTGTTTAAAAAAAATTATATCACATGTTGTAGTTAATTTGTTTTAACTTGTAATGTAAACAACTTTAAGTCTCATTCAGAAGAATAGTGGGCTATAGATCAAATAGATGAGTAGGATAAGATAGATAGATAGATAGATAGATAGATAGATAGATAGATAGATAGATAGATAGAAAAACAGGGCTCATCATTCCACCTTCTCAACTCTATCAGTGAATTCCAGATGAATAAAGGAATGGTGTGAGAACTTGTCTGCTTGCTGCAAGTACACATCTTTCTGGTTTCCAGTCACTCCAAAGTTGGCCATTAATACTTTCACTGATGCTTGATTTCCATCAAGCACCAGACTAATACATTTGTCTCTGCAGTTCATTAACTCACAAATGTGTTCTTCAGACAGACAGCTGAGGTCCCTCTCCAGGCCACCTGTTTACTGACACAATGAACCAGAAGCTATTTTGCAAACAGGGCAGGAAAAGGGCAAGCAGTGAGAGCAGGAGGGGAGAAGATAAAAGGCCTCCATCTCTCTCTTTCTAGAGGAGAAGGGAGGCATAGATAGGCCTCTAGATATGTTGGACGGTAACTCCCAACCAGTCCTAACCAGGAAAACAACTTCGGGAGAGAAAAATGTCCCCTAACTATGCTCTACAGTCCATGCTTGGAGAATGCTTCAATTCTCCTATTATTTGCGGATGGACCAGAGCTCAAGCAAAATCAACCCCAGTGATGGGTGTTGGTGAAATGGTTGGATCCTATGAACGGTCTCACCTCACTCTTCTCTATGCTGGATAGATTTTGTGGGAGCTAAAGTTCAACAACATTGGGAGAAACATTCCCTTTCCTTGGATCAAGGAAAAGTGTATGTGTTACAGCCACCCACAATAAGGCTTACTTTCAACCTTGTTGCTATAGTGTGCAAGGTAGATACACCCACCAAGTGTAAATCACTAAGTTGGAAATGCATTAGCCTCCCTGTTCAGAGTTTTGGAAAGTTTCCTTTTAGGTCTGTTAGCCATGCTGGCTCTGGTATTGGGTTGCACTCCACCAGTTCTGCCCCCTTGATGTTCTTTCCTGGCTGGCTTCCTGCAAAGAGTAAGCCGTGGATATCTGAAATGACTCATAAAGTGAATTGCTCACATGGCTCATTCCCAGAGCATTCTGCCTACAAGAATGAGTAGTTACAGGAAGAAACTATCTTGACAAAGCTGTTTTCAAAGCAGCTTCCATGTTAAGGTTTGGATGTGGAAGGAAAGCCAACACTTTCTGTGCTATGAATATGGTAGAGTTTGAGAAACCTAATTTCTTGCAACTCCCAAAAATCTGCACTTGGAGTGGCTGCTGGCTATGCTATCTGAAGAATCTGGGCTGTAGTATAAATAAATAGCTTTCCCAAACAAGGTTATTGCACCAGAGAGACCCCATCCCTTACAACTCTTGAGTAAAAGCTTGCTTTGTGATGAAGAAGCCACATAGAAAGGACTGTTATGTTTAGAACATGCCAATGTCTTCATTCCAGATATAGATTGCTTGTCAAATGCATGTGAAGTCTATTCTGTTCTCCGTTCTTTTCTTCCATCTCCTTTGGCTAGACCTGAGAGTAACCCCTGCTGCAACCAGTCTGTGTGAAGAATGTCAGATCGTTCCATTGGCATCTGGAATCCACTTTGGACTTTCATTCACATCTGGAATCCAACTTATTTCCCTAAACATTCATATTTAATCATACATAGCTGGAATTCATATGGAACTGGAGATACCTTCCTTTTCTTTTTAGGTTGGATATTACTGCACCCATCTTTTATGTCTTCCCTCCAAAATGTCTGAATTGCCCTTCTAGACATATGATCCCTATTCTCTGTGGAATCCAGCTCTTTCTTTCCCATCTCTCCCACCTTCCACCTATGGACCCATGCAAACAGTATGCACCTGTTTTGTCCTTGGAAGACTGTTCTCCCAGTATAGTGAACCCAGCTATTAAGCTGCAAGGAAAGGTGGGTAATAAATGAGTTGTTGGGTTGCTGTGAGTTTCCTGGGCTGTATGGCAAATGTGTTGTTGTTTTGAGTGCCTTGCCTGGGGTGAAAAAGACTGCTCACACTCAAAGCTTGCCCTTGTCACCTCCGAAAAATTGTGATCAGACATTGCAAGTGGCATGTCTCTTCCTCAACCCTTGCTAAAAGTTCCAGAAGCCAAAAAAGGTGATGCCAAAACACATCTGCACTGGAAGTACGTGCCTATCCCCCCACCCCCATGTTGGCTGGGTATTTATTCTGCTCCTGGCTCTGAGAGCACCTTGGAGAGCGAATCAGCAACACAGAGAGCGCCCTTGGCAATACTACCCCCTCCTCTCATTCTCCCCCTGTCTCTAAAAGTGCCTTGGAGGGAGCATCAGCACCAGCTCCACGTCTTCTCCCGCCCAGGCAACTCATTCCCGTCTAGAAGTACCTTGGAGAGCAAATCAGCACCGCGGAGAGCGCCTCTGGCGTAGCTACGCCGCCTCTCATTCTCCTGCCTGAGCTTCTCATTCTCCACCTGTCTCTGGAAGTGTCTCAGAACTACGGCGAGAGCCCTGGGCTCCTAGTTCAATTCCTGTCTGTAATAAGAGGGGATCAGCACCATGGAGAGCGCCTCACGTAGCGCCACAGCTCTTTTACCGCCCAGGCAATTCATTCCCCTCTGAAAGCGCCTTGGAGAGCAAATCAGCACCACGAGTTGCGCCTCTGGCAACACCACTGCCTCTCCTTCTCCTGCCTGGGTTATACTTCCTCCCTCTGTCTCTGAAAGAAGCAAGACCATGGAGAGCTCCCTTCGCGGCGCTATTCATTCCCCGCCTGTCCCTAAAAGCGCCCTGGAGGGAAAATCAGCACCGAGGAGAGCGCCACAGCGCTTCTCCCGCCCAGGCAGCCCAATTGCTTCTGAAAGCGCCACAGGGGTGGAGGGTTCAGGACCACGGAGATCTCCCTCGTTGCTCTTCCTCCCCTTGGGCTACTCATTCCCCTCTAACAGCTCCTTGGAGAGCAAATCAGCACCACGAGTTGCGCTTCTGTCAACGCTACTGCCTCTCCTTCTGCCTGGGCTAGTCTTTCTCCCCCTCTCACTGAAAGCGCCTTGGAAGAAAGGATCAGGACCAAGGAGAGCTCCCTTTGCCTCTCCTAAAAGGGCCTTGGAGGGCAACTCAGTACCGAGGAGAGCGCCATAGTACTTCTCCCACCCAGGCAACCCAATTCCCTCTGAGAGCGCCAGAGAGGTAGAGGGTTCAGCACCACGGAGAGTTCCCCCATCGAGCTTGCGCTGCTCTTCCTCCCCTTGGGGTACTCATTCCCCTCTTGCCTCTAAAAGCCCCTCTGGGGCGAATCTGGAGCCCCGGAATAGCACCACTCATAGCTCCGCGCGTGTCTCTCTGTCTGCCTGGGCGTGATCGCGGGCCACGCTCGGCTGCCTCTCTGGTCGCGACGTGGCTGGCCTCGCCCCGCCGCCCCCTCCCTTCGCCCGTCACGCTCGCGCTCCCCTCCGCCTGCCTCCCTCCCCTCCCCTCCCGCGCCCTCCCTCCCTCCCTCTCTCCTCCCCGTCCTCTCTCTCTCTCTCTCTCTCTCTCTCTCTCTCTGCCTCTCGCTCACTTTTCACCCCGTCGCGCACAGCCAAAGCAGCCGGACCGACGGCTCCCGCGCGCCCTCGCCGCACTCCTCCGACCCCTCGCCAGCTGCGCAGATGGCCGCTCCCGGCGCGGGCTTTTGGTCCTTCGGGTCCGAGGACGGGTCCGGAGACCCGGATAACCCCGGCCCAGGTAGGAGAACCTCTCCTCTCGCCTCTTCCAGGAGGCACAAGGCGCCTCGCAACAATTCGCTCGCTCCACGCCGGCTCTCCTTAAGCGCCTGGATCGCGGGTCTGTTCCGTCTCTGGGGGATCGCCAAAGAGGATCTCATCCCCAAGAAAGTGCCCTTCAAAGAAACGGACGCCTTGAAGACCAGCAAAGCTTCGCAAGGCACAAAGGAGACACACGCTTGCGCGCCGTCGGGAAGAGTGGTGGGGAAGACGAAAAAAAGCTCATCGAGGGCAAATTCGAAGAAGAATGTCTAGGATCTGCCCTGGCGAAGGAGAGGAGAGGCGGACACAGCCAAATAGGGCTCCGAGGGAGGGGAGGGGAACTGGGAAGGGCAAACAAAGGTCACGAAGCTGAGAAAAGAGGCAGGCGATCCGTCCTTTCTTTTTTTTCTTTCCCTGGTTAGAGCATTAAGATAATTTCGTCCTTTCCCTCTTGGATTTGGTTCAGATGTTGCCTGCCTAGAACCTAGTTCTAATCTCAGACGGAGAGCATTTGGAGCCCTCAACTCAAAAAGTCTCTCTGAAATCCCCCTCCCGATTCTCCTCGTCCTCTTCCTCCCGTCTCATGAAACCACTCTCCTGAATGAACCCCCGATAAGGGCTGCAGACAGGGCTGGGTGGCAGTCTAGACAGCAAGGACTCTGCTTGCTTTGGAATGACCTTCTAGAACGCCAAGTTCTGGTGGAAAACCCACGCAAAACGGTCCTTCTAATCCTATCTTCTTCCTTTCTTCTCTCCCATCCCCAAATCCTTCACAGCAAAAGCTTGGTGCCAGGCTGCCCAGAAGTTCACAGGAGGCATTTCTACCAAACTCTGTGGTAAGCAGGGAGAACCTTTAAGGGGGGGGGGGGGGCTCCTGAATCAATGGCCTCCTGAAAAAGAAGAGGGGGAGATAGAAACAAGACAAGTAAACAAAACCTCTCTCGCCCCCGCCCAAATTGTCATGGAGGTTTCTATTAAGAGGACCCAGTGGTGTTCGTTTAAATAACGGAGAAATTAAAGTATTCTCTATCATAATTATATTTATTTATATCCCGCTATTATATCTTAATTGAGATGCAAAGCGACTCACAATGTTATATTTATATATCCCGCTTTTATCTCTTGGTCGAGACGCAAGGCGGGTCACAACATTTAAAAACAATGCAGTCTAAAGAACAAAGTAATTGGGTTGCTGTGAGTTTCTCCGGGCTGTATGGCCATGTTCCAGAAGCTTTCTCTCCTGACGTTTCGCCCATATCTATGGCAGGCATTCTCAGAGTTGGTGAGGTCTGCTGGAAATTAACAAAGTGAGGTTTATATATCTGTGGAATGTCCAGGGTGGGAGAAAGAACTCTTGTCTGTCTGAGGTAGTGTGAATGTTTCAACTGGCCACCTTGATTAGCATTTAATGGCCTTGCAGCTTCAAAGCCTGGTTCCTTACAGCCATGGTAGCATTCATTGCCATGGTACACAAATACACAATCAAACAATTTATAAAATAAAACATTAATGCCAACTTATACTTACAAACAAAGAAGCAAATAATTACTTAAGTAATCATAAAAATATTAACAAATATAATCATGAAAAAATATTCACAAAGATAATCATAAAAGTTTACAAAAATATTCCCTAATAATAATAATAATATTCAAAGAATGCGGTTTAAAGAACAATGCAATTGGGTTGCTGTGAGTTTTCCGGACTGTATGGCCATGTGCCAGAAGCAGGCCCGTAGCCAGGATTTTGATTGGGGGGGGGGGCTGAGTTTGATTGGGGGGGGCTGAGTCTGAGTGAAAGAGGGTCTACCCTAGCAAACCTTTTGTATAGTTACCACCATGCACATGAGATATATTGAGCATGGTGATCAGATCATGATATGAATAAACATAACAGTTTAAAAAATGTACCTTTTCGCAGACCACCATGAGAATTTCGGAGGGGCTGAAGCCCCCAAAGCTCCCCCCCCCCCGGCTACATGCCTTGCCAGAAGCATTCTTTCCTGACGTTTCGCCTGCATCTATGGCAGGCATCCTCAAAGGTAATGGCCAATTGAAACATTCACACCTGCCTCAAACGGACAAGAGTCCTTTCTCCCACCCTGAACATTCCACAGATATGTAAACCCCATTTGCCTGGTTTCCAACATACCTCACAGCCTCTGAGGATGCCTGCCATAGATGCAGGCGAAACGTCAGGAAAGAATGATTCTGGAACATGGCCATACAGCCCAGAAAACTCACAGCAACCCAGTGATTCCAGCCCTGAAAGCCTTCGACAACACAACAATGCAATTTTCCTGTGAACGGGAAAGGCGCCGTTCAGTCTCTTTTGTGGCTTCGTTTTGCCAGCTTTGCTCTACGGAGATGGGGAGAAGCCCATGGAAACGGGGGCTGCCAAGGAGGACCTCAACTCCAAGGCCAGGAAGGCGGCCTGCTCTTGCAACAAGAAGCCCTGCGGCTGCCCCAAGGAGGAGATCAATTATGCCTTCCTGCACGCCTCAGGTGAGTGGATGTTTTGGAAGCCACCCAGCCGTGGATCTAGCCTCCCAGTCTGTCCTCTGCTGGCCAAGATACAGACATCAGCCAGCAGGGCGCCGTGGAAGCCTGGCTCAGGAAAACCCCTTGGCCCGTGGCCATTGACTTGGCCGACTTGGCCACTGGTTGTTCTCTCTCAACAGAGCAAGAGGGGTTCACGCCTTCGCCAAGCTACACACAGTGCCCATTAGGCTTCCACACAACTATTCATCATAACCAGCAGCGTACAACACCTTTGCCTCTTGGACCTGGTTCAAAAAAATTGCCAGAAATTCCCTTGATCACCTTCCCCGTTGCTCCAGTTAGGCGTCATGGGGAAGCATTGCAAACCAAATCCATGGCTGGCTCCCAACGATATTTCTTTATGTCACTTGGACGCCCACCCGCCGTTTTCCCCTTCCTTCCCCATCCTTCATATACAGAAATCGGTCAGATCAATGGCTATGGGCCAATGGATTTCGGAAATCACGAATCCCTCATTCCAAAGCCCAACGCGCTCCAGATATGATAGGAAAGCAGACAAAAAGGGGTGAGGAGAGGCGGGGGAAGGGAGAGAGAGAGAGATCTAGGAACGGGAGTCAGGCTATTAATTCGTGTTGAGCTTGCCAAGAAGTGTCTTGTTGGGATATGAATCTTCTGACTTCAATACATTCCCTCGGCAGTGAACGAGACGATATATATCACCAATAAAGGGACTTCCTAAATTCAAAGAAACTGGGGCGGTGTTGTTGCCAATTCCTCGATGTTAGAGAGTGGGTTCTTTGCCAAGGTTGCGATGGTTTCAGCACCACTGGAGAGGGACAGCGCCCTAGAAGGGGTTCATTCGGGAGAATGGGGCTTGTTGGAAGGAAATAGTCCTCAGAATCAAGGACAACACTGGGGGTTGAGAAACTCGTGATAAGCACATCGAATTGAATTATTATTACTACTATTACTATAATCCTTATCATCACAAATTTTATATAATATGATGTAATAATAGATTATATCCACAATATTGTTATATATAATGTACAATATATTATATATTGTACAGACAACGTATCATTATATTTCATATGATATACAGTATTAAAGTGGCATTAATACTGTATATCATATGAAATATAATAATACGTTGTATGTATAATATATAAGATATAATAATATTGTGTATATCGTATATTATGACATCATATTATATATTATATTAAAATGATGCTAAGGATCATATTATACATATAATATACAATAACATAATCTTATAATAATATTGTATATATTATATTATACATCATGTTATATACAGTATTAAAGTGGCATTATCATCAAATATTTATATATAATACTGTATATAATATAACATTTTATATGTAATTTATAATCATATATATAATATATAATCATATAATCATATCATACAATATTATTGAATATATTATATTATATGTCATATTATATACAGTATTAAAGTGGTATTATCATCAAATATTTCATATATAATACTGAACATAATATGATAACATTTTATATGTAATATATAATTGTATATGTAATTTATAATAACATAATCATAATATCATATAATAATATTGTATATATTACATTATAGTATAATACAATATTATAGTATATTATTATGGTATATTATATATTATAATATATAATATACATATATATAATGTACAGTATAATATACAATAACTTAATCATATAATAATAATGATGATAAAGTGGCATTATCATTAAATATTGTATATATAATACTGTGCATAATATGATATATAATATAATAAATGCAATATGATTATATTATTATATTATTGTATATTATATATACGATTATATCTTACATATAAACTGATAATATTGTATACGTTACATTATAGTATAATATAATATTATCGTATATTATTATTGTATATTATATATTATAATATATAATATATACTATATACTATAGTATATATTTGGCTTCCCTCGTAGAGGGAAGCCAAAGTATATACTATACTTATATACTATAATATATAATATACAGTATAATATACAATAACATAATCATATAATAATATCATATAGTAATATTGTATATATTAGATACAGTATTAAAGTGGCATGATCATCAAATATTGTATATACAATACTGTGCATAATATGATATATAATATAATATATACGATATGATTATATGATTGTATTATTGTATATATAATACTGTGCATAATATAATATATATGATTATATGCAATATGATTATATGATTATATTATTATATAGTATATATACGATCATATCTTACATTTAAACTGATAATGATAATATATAATATCAATAAAGCTTTCCTTAGGAGGGGAAGATGGTTCCCTTTTTCAAAACAATCCATAGAAGTGGAAATGTGGGGATTTTGGATCCTAGTCATGAATTAATTCCACCCACAACAGAAACGTAGAGGTATGTTTTCATTCTTCCAGAGCAGCTACCCTCTCTTTTTTCATGGTCTCTTTGGTCTTGAAAACGACACAAAAGGAAGGGAATGTCTTTCCGCCTTTCTCTCGTAGAGGGAAGCCAAACCATGGCTCCAAGCCCATGCCATCTTGCCTTCCTTCCTTCCTTCAGATCTCCTGCCCTCCTCGGAGGGCGAAGCGGCCACGTTGTCCTTCCTGCAGGACGTGGTGGAGATTTTGCTCCAGTACCTGGTGACCAATTTCGACCGCTCGACCAAAGTGATCGATTTCCACTACCCGAACGAGCTGCTTCAGGAATACAATTGGGAATTGGCCGACCAACCGCAGACCCTGGAAGAAATTCTGCTGCTTTGCAGGACGGCGCTCAAGTACGCCATTAAAACAGGTAAAGAGAGAGACCTCGGGCTGAGCAGTTGAATTAAAGCCTCTCTTTCTTTCTCGGCTCAGGTATGGGGAAACTTGGGCCTTCCAGATGTTTTGGACTCCAACTCCCACCATTCCTAACAGCCTCAGGCCCCTTCCTTTTCCCTCTCAGCCGCTTAAGCGGCTGAGAGGGAAAAGGAAGGGGCCTGAGGCTGTTAGGAATGGTGGGAGTTGGAGTCCAAAACACTGGAAGGTCCCAAGTTTCCCCATACCTGATTTAGCTGGTTGACTTTCGGTATTTACTGACTGATATTGAAGCCATGTTGTCCGACATATGGAGCAAACAAGCCTCATTCCTGTCTTGGAAAAGAAAACAAACACTGACCGCGTTTCTTGTCTTTCTGGGTCCTGCTGGTTGTTTTGAGGACTATTTTATTTTCCGGAGTAATGTAGTTCTCGCTTGCGTTTGTGATCCCTGAGAAAGACTGGATTTCTCTCACGAAAGGCGTTTGGATAGATATAGTTTGGGTTGTTGTAGGTTTTTCGGGCTATATGCCATGTTCTAGAAGCATTCTCTCCTGACGTTTCGCCTGTATCTATGGCAAGCATCCTCAGAGGTTGTGAGGTCCCTAGAGTTTGTCACATGGGGAAACTAATGTTTTTCGTTGTGGTGGTTCGTTTGGTTTCGGGAATCACTCGATTGTGTTTTGAATTGCCTTCCTAGGACCACCAGGTCACAAACGACTGCAATCTTGCTTGTGTGTTGATGTGCATTCAGTCGGTTTATGGAGACCCTACGAAATTCGTAGGGTCTTCTAAGGCAAGGGATGCTTAGCAATGGTTTTGCCAATCCCTTTCTCACTAAAACATAGTTTAGAGCTATATATTCATTGTGGTCTCCCATCCAAGTGCTAACCAGGGCCGACCCTGCTTAGCTTCCACGGTCAGATGGGATTTGATATGTGTTGTTGAAGGCTTTCATGGCCGGAATCTCTGGGGGCACTTCCACACAGCCCTATGTCCCAATATATCAAGGCAAAAGACCCCACATTATTTGAGTGTGGACTCATGGCCCTTCCACACAACCCTATATCCCAGAATATCAAGGCAGAAAATCCCACATTATCTGACTGTGGACTCAGATAACCCAGTTCAAAGCAGATAATGTGGGAGTTTCTGCCTTGATATTCTGGGATATAGGGCTGTGTAGAAGGGCACTGAGTCCACACTCAAATAATGTGGGATTTTCTGCCTTGATATTCTGGGATATAGGGATGTGTGGAAAGACCCTCTGTTGCTGTGAGTTTTCTGGGCTGTATGGCCATGTTCCAGAAGCAATCTCTCCTGACATTTCGCCCACCTCAACAAAGGAATCTCAACAAAGGATTCCCCCTAGCAGGAGGCAACCAGGCTTTGAAGCTGCAAGGCCATTCAATGCTAATCAAGCTGTCCAATTGCAACGTTAACACTTGCCTCAAGCAGACAGTTCTTTCTCCCACCCTGGACATTCCACAGATATATAAACCTCACTTGCCTAGTTTCCAACAGACCTCAAAACCCCTTTCATAGATGTAGGCGAAACGTCAGGAGAGAATGCTTCTGGGACATGGCCAGAGAGTCCAGAAAACTCACAGCAACCCAGGGAATTCATATCTTTAAGGGGACCAGCACACACCCAGTAGCAATCCGGGGGCAAATCGACTTCAGGACTTCTCTTAAACAGCATGTTCTTCTGGTGGCCCCAAAAACCAGGGCCAAAGGAAAGGAAAACCAAGGAGGTGGCTTTAATTTGTTGCCTTCCTTTAAGATAAAAAGGAGGGTGAAACTCGGGTGAGTGAGTAATTAAACACAGGCAATGAATGCTCTGTACTCGCCTGAGCTCGTTAAGATCCACCGCCTAAGAGTGAAATAACGTTTATGTAATCCATATTGATGCAGTTAGTCTACTTTAAATGAGATTAACAGTTAGGCTACATATACTTAGAGTCGCCATAAAGAGGAAATGCCTTGGAGGCACTCCACCAAAAGAGACGCACAACGAAAAACTCAAGCAGGAAAAAGAAGATCGATTTCTCTATTGGATTTTAGAACAAAATGCACTTCTGACAAGTCTGTTCTGGATCCCAAGCGAATGCAGTTAATCACTTACTAGAAAGAGATGTAGGTATAGAGTGTGTTTGTAGCCAGGACTTGAAAATATCGCCCTCTCAAAAATAATAAATGCAAACAGCTGGTGATGATGATGATGATGATGATGATGATGAGCCAGTAAATGTGGTCCCAGTGGTGATCGGCACACTGGGTGCAGCGCCTAAAGGCCTTGGCCTGCACTTAAAAACAATCAAAACTGACAAAATTACTATCTGTCAGTTGCAAAGGGCCACCCTACTCGGAACTGCACAAATTATTTTGGATACATCACACAGTCCTAGACACTTGGGAAGTGTCTGGGGTGTGATCAAATACAAAAGCCAACATAGTGATCTTGTTTACTGTGTATTAATCTTGTTGTGCATCAAATAATCATCATCATCATCATCATCATCGTCATCATCATCTAATTTTCGTTTGTGGGATTAACATAACTCAAAAACCACTGGACGGATTGACACCAAATTTGGACACAATACACTTATCAGGCCAATGAGTGACCATCACTCATAAAAACACTGAAAAGCACAGCAGAAGAGACTTAAAAAGCCAAAAAAAATGAAAAATACATTACAAATCATGCACAAAACCACATATTTACACAAACACACAGGAGATCTTGGCGGGGTATAAATAAGGTTGTGTTATTATTTTATTATATACACAAATATATATAAACACAAAACACATATACACAGACTGGGCCACAGCAACTCGTAACAGGGGACAGCTAATAATAATAATAATAATAATAATAATAATAATAATAATAATAATAATAATAATAATAATATATTTATATTCCTCTCTATCTCCCCGAGTGGACTCAGGGCGGATTACAGAACACATATAAGGACAAACAATACATAAACAGAGGTATAGGCTTTCCCATACCAAGCCCCCAAAAGTTATATATGTGTGTATGTGTGTGCATGTATGTAATGTGTACATACATACATAAATAGAGAGAGAGATTATGACATTTAAATAGTTCTGATGGCTATAACACACACACACAATTCGATTGTTTGTCCTTGTGCACTGCCTAATTGAGTGGATGTGGATGCTGGTCATCGAAATCCAGATTACAGCTGCAGTTTTGCCTATCCTTCCCCTCCTAGACTAAACCCCATTAAGATAAATCAGTCCATCCGGAGATGACAGCCCGGTCAGCCGAGAGTTAACCGAGGGCTTGTAGCGCTGAATCCTCCCCAAACTTCCGTTTCACGCCTTGCCTTATGCCGGTTTATTTGGATGTAGCTGCGAATAAGATTTTGAGAGCTTCCATCTTCCTTTGTTTACTACCGGAGAGACAAAACCAATCTGCTCGGGGAAAGAGGGGATGCTGGTTGGTGAAGTGGGCTCAGACTGTTTTGTTTTGGGGCTTGCATTGTTTCACTTCCGGGGTTCCTTTGAACGGAGTCTCTTGTTTCCACTTGTTTGGGATCCTATTGTTTTCTTTTGTTCTGTAGGCTCCCTATCCATGTGTTTATTGCCCCCTGTTTCTATTTGTTTTCAGGTCTTGATTCCATTCGTTTAGGATCCTGTCTCCTTGTGTTCAGGGTCTTGTTTACATTCGTTTGGGGTCGTGTTTTCATTCATTTAGTCTTCTGTTTCCATTTGTTTGGGGTCCTATTGTTGCCATTCATTTATTGTTCCCATTTGGTTTTTGTTTGTTTGTTTACGATTTCAGTATGTTTAAGGACCTCTTTTTATTCGTTTTGGGATCCTGTTTCCATTTGTTTGGGGCCGTGTTTCCATTCCTTTAGGGTGCTTCCAGACAGCCATATAACCCAGAATAATCAAGGCAGAAAATCCCACAATATCTGCTTTGAACTGGGTTATCTGAGTCCAGATTGTTCTGGTGTGAGAGGATTGGCCGTCTGCAAGGATGTTTTGCCCAGGGGATACCTGGATGTTTTGATGTTGTACCCTCCTTGTGGGAGGCTTCTCCCATGGCTGCGCATGGGGAGCTGGAGCTGACAGAGGGAGCTCATCCGATCTCTCAGTGGATTCGAACCTTCAGTCCTGCCGGCACAAAACCCACTAGCTGTCACCTGCCACACGTTGTTGTGGCCCAGTCTAGTGATCTTGAAAATAAAGTAATGAGAAAGTGTTGGCTTCTAATAGATGTAATTTCTTGATGCTTGTGGGTAAACAGTATTTTTTGCTGTTTCTTTGTCCGTGTTGATGTGGAGATTGTCTGGTTTGCCTACTCTGAAACATGCAACATATAATTGTTCTTCTTTAGGGGTCCCTTTCAAAGCTATGATACTATATCTGTGTGTGTGAATCATATCTATCTATGTATTGTCGAAGGCTTTCATGGCTGGAATCACTCAGTTCTTGTGGTTTTTTTCGGGCTATATGGCCATGTTCTAGAGGCATTTCTCCTGACGTTTCGCCTGCATCTATGGCAAGCATCCTCAGAGGTGAGGTCTGAGGATGCTTGCCATAGATGCAGGCGAAACGTCAGGAGAAATGCCTCTAGAACATGGCCATATAGCCCGAAAAAACCCACAAGAACTGGGCATATCTATCTATCTTTATCTATGGCTGGATGGCTCTTTGTCAGGAGGGCTTTGATTACGTTTTCGTTGCCCCGGTGAAGGGAGTTGGACTGGATGGCCTTAAGTATTTTCTGTTGGTCATGGGGGTTCTGTGTGGGAAGTTTGCCCCAATTCTGTCGCTCGTGTGGTTCAGAATGCCTTTTGATTGTAGGTGAACTATAAATCCCAGTAGATACAACTCCCAAATATCAAGATCTATTTCCCCCAAACTCCATCTGTGTTCGTATTTGGGTGTGTGGAATATTCGTGCCAAATTTGTTCCAAATCCATCCATTGCGCTCTGTGGATGTAGGTGAACTAC